CTGGAATTTAAGTCCTCTTATTCATATTTATTCATATTATTTATTATTTTTTCTCTGTAGTGGATGAAAACTATTTTCGATGTGGATGTGTCAAGAGAGGCATATATCTTTCTATCCCTTTAGGTTTCTATTTACTTTCACTACCTTTTCTCACTCGCATATTCATCAGAATAGGAAGGAAACGAAGGATGAACCGAACTGCAAATTCCGCGGTGCTTAAAAAACTTCTGCTAAAGTGGAGCATATTTGGTCATACCGTGACCCATGGTTTACGGTTATGTTATGTTGTAAACCATAGAATAGAGGCAAGCAGATTGAGAAGAATCCCCGCATATGCTAGAAAAAGAGATGACAAGAGTGAGACGCGCAACCAGGGTCAACCGTCCGTTGGACAAAGTCCAACGGAGGGGTCGTATTTGGCTGCGCCAGAGGGAGGGGGGTCGTATTTTCTGGAGTCAACGTTGCAGTACGAAGAGGTTTTTGGGTGTAGGTGACGAGAGCTGGTTTTCGCTATAAGGAACCTAATGGGCGTTGTGATGAAGATCGCACTTGTTGGTTCTTGCTGGGACCATCGAACGATTAGAATCAAGACTTAGTTCCCGCGGCAGTAGGTGAGAGGTAAAACTTTCGAGTGTTTCTTCAAATATTGAGCACAAGCGAGTGCATGGCGCACACCAGAGCAGAAGAGTCTACTGCGAAAGTATCCATGCTCACGTACACAAATATGAGGTGAACCAATGCCTTCAAACTGGACATAAATTAGTAAAAGAGTACCCACTTTGGTAGATTGACTTCTAAAGTGCTACAGGAAAAGTTTGGGAACAAAAATATTTGCCTTTGCGGGCAACTTCTTTAGAAAAGGTTCAGCATCGCTAATGAAGCACAAAGCTCGTGCGATGACACGGTATCTTTACTCCCGATAAAAATGAGTTTGAAGACAGTTATCAGTGTTTAAGTGTTGAAAACCTGCGTTTTCAGGAAAGTAGCTCCAAAAATTCGTGAAAAAAAGAACGGTCCAACGGAGCGATTCTTTGACTCCTTCGACTTTAGAAGGAGCTCAAGTATTCTCTGGGAAGCTCTAACCTTCTGCTTCAATTCAGGGGGATAAGAACTGCAAAAAGTTCAATCTGAAGAAAGTTATAACAATTTGAAGCCAAAAAACCTGCGCTCTCTAAAAAATCGGTCCACGATTTCCCAAAAACGGTCCAACGGGGCGATTTTTTGACTCCGTCAACTTCGAAGAAAGTTCAAGTACACGTTGGAAAGCTCTAACTTTCTTCTTCAACCCAGGAGGACAATAATTGCCAAAGGTGGAATTTGAAGAAAGTCATAGTAATTGAAAGCCAAAAAACCTGGTCTTGCGAAAAAACGGTCCAACGGGACGATTTTTTGGAGGAAAGAGATTTTGCAAAAGCTAGAGCTTTTCTTAGAAAGAAAACAGTTTGACCTTTTCAAATTTTCTTACCGCTCCTCATAGTTCCTTCTTTGAAGAAAGTTACAACCTTTCAAATGAAGAAGTGCACATTTCTGTAAATTCTTTGTTTTCTACCCCATAACCGACGTACTTTTGAAGATAAGGCATAATAAATGTGATCCTCTGAAACAAGCAGTTAAGTAGATCACAAATCCATTTAGCAATTTGAAAAATGTTGATATTAAACAAAATTACGCTTGTTTGAAAGTCAATAGTCTGTTTCTCGCGACCCGCGCTGCGCCGAGGGGGAAGATTGCGCGCGCCAATGCGAACGCAACGCTACCGTGCTCCGGTCGGACACTTCTGCTGTATACTCTCACGCTCTGAGATGCGCCATGCATTCGTTTGCAACTTGAAATCATTGTGAATATCCCCCTTTTGATGCGTTCGCATATCGATGGAGATTTTTGTGATTCTGAACGCCAAGTCATGAAAGGCAGGCAAAGCGCCATTCAAACTAATGGGCAGTACTGTCCAGCACCTAATAAAGGCAATCCGTTTTGCGATGTTATGCATAAGTAAATTACTAGATACAGGAAACTAGTGTTCGTCTGCTACTGTGTTTGAATTCAAGCCAAGTGTTCTTAGATATTTTGTAGATGCACTGTACTTACTTCCCCTAGTGTTAGCTTTTCCTTACAGTGTACCGTATATAATAAGGGGGGGGTCGTATGGAGACTCTCGAAGAGGGGGGGTCGTAAAAATCCTGAAATCGGTCCAACGTGACGGTTGACCCTGCGCGCAACCGCGTCTCAACGTCCAACATGGTGCGCGAAGTAGACGCGTTACCGCGTCTCAATGTCGTCAATGTGTTAACCCATTCGTGACAATGGCATCCACCGGCCGCTGCCAAAGATCTCACTCGGGCAACAGCATCCACCGTTGGCTGCCGGGCTTCAAATGTAATTTGGAGAGTTTTCTTTCACGAAAAGAAGCTTCACACCCTCACCCATCTACGCCAGCCATGGGTAGAAGAAATCTCCGTACACCCAAGTTTAACTGAAGAGAAATCTCGTGATTCTACTGCTGTTGCGCAGTCCCGCGCGGTCGCGAAATAACTGCGCAATTTCCTCCTTCACATGAACCGTATAGGGACACCTTTTGCTGTCGATGACATGATACTCCGTGTTTTTGTGTATAATTCAGTCTTCTCTCGCTCGCGAGAAGCAGATTCTTCCACGTGACTCTTATTTCTGACGCCAAGTGCCATTTCTCGTTGAGCGGGAACATGATTCTTGCCTGAAGGGATTGATCTTTTCAAAAAGCTGTACTGCACAGATTTTATTCTCCTGATTCTATTTGCATACAGTCGAGGAATGAGAAATAAATCCGCTTGCAGACAACACAACGCTGCTGCAGAGTATGCTCATGGCTGCGGTCATGCCAAGCAACACAATAAGGTCGCGGGGCGCTGTTGAGCGGGACGACAGAATTTCCTAAATATGGCATGATTTTTTCGTCCAGCTATAGTGCATAGCCCTTCTGTTTACCAATGACAAGAGGTACACATACGAAGACATGGCAACCTGTGAGGATGTCAGTGCGTCGGCTCCTACCGGCCAACATTCAGGGTTGAATACCACCGCTAGGCAGAGAGTGCAGTCAGTGTGTTCGCTAAAGGGAGCAAGTGCACAGAGTTTCGATGAATTGGCTTGATTCATTTTCTACTGATTTCCACTGAATCTTTGTCCATGCACAGAACTTATAAGGAAAACTTGGTTTCTTGAAGGCTCGGTTTATCTATGGTCACACAAAATTCCTTTGCCTAGCTTTTATACGGAACGTATCTGAATACAACTTTACATCCCCGTGAATAAAATGAACTCTTGAATGCTCTATTTCCGGAGTGTCAGTACTAGTTACTCCATGAACAGACACAATTAGATTATTGTGAAGATGAAAGCCAAAGCGGAAGCTAACATGGCGCCTACACCAGCTCTGATGGAACTTGCCCTAGGATTTTGTGGTCGTGGTCGCAAGATATAACTGTGGGTAGGTCCCATATTCTGCTACTTTTCCTCGTGAACTACTTCTTTCTTATGAGCTTCCTCCTTGTTCCACTTCTTGGTTGATTTCACCGCTGTCTTCTACCGTGCATCCAATTCCAAGAGGCTTAGAGATTCAACGGCCTCCTTATTCATCTGTGTGAAGTTAACATCACGACTGCTTCTCTAACGATTACATGCTTGTTTGCGGGCAATTCTTCAATTCTGCTCATCCGCCACCCATGTCGCAGCTACACATAACGACGGTCCATTTACTCAACCCATGACCGCCTCTTTTCAAAGTTATGCCAAAATCTGATTTCCTTCCATGTGGATGTTGACCCACCCATCAGTGGAGGGCGTAAAAATGTGTGAATAGACATGAATAGCTGGTGATCCGTACTGGTACCCACTGAAAATGAGGAGCTTCGTAAGGTTTTAAAACCTGCGCAACGCATGGTTTCACCTGATGCTAATCCCTTTGCGGGACGCTCCACACACCCTACTTCCATACAGAATCGCGGTGACATTTTATGCAGTGTGGCCTATCCAATGATTTTTGAGAAACAGTCAATCTACAACTCAGAATTACACCTATACAAGTCTGCTACCAATTAAACGACCCCTGAGGGGTGGAAGGTTGGTTGGCCCAAATGACGTACGACCCTTGATTTGATACTCGCACCGTGCGCGTGGTAAGCAGCGCCATTTGCCAGTACATCACTTTCACCCCTCGTGTAAAGACAAGCCCTCAGAAACATCACTAGTTCCCAAAAAAGGCTAGAAATAGAAGCACAACATCTTGTGCAGAGAAAACCCTAATTTATTCACCCAGCTAATGCATATTCATAAAGCATATAACATATATACCTATGGAGTAACAAAACAAAATGAAAAGATCCATCTAGGAGAGACAGAGAACACTACAACTTATCACGTAATGAACACGTCTGCAAAAATCGCAAGGGAGACTCGTTATAGTGAACAGTTATAGTGAACACAAAGAACGCGACGACTAACACACTGTTTGCGAAGTAATTACATAATCATAAAACGAATGACCATAAGAATAAACAATATAAAATTATATTCCACATGTTTACAAATTGCGGTGGATAAAAGTCGCCGAAAACGTTGTCAAACGATGACAATATAATAACTTACTGCTAAGAACTTTCAAGTCACAAATATGATACAAAAAGCACCATAAAACGGAAAGAAAGGAAGTCAGTCGCAGATTAGATAATCGAAGAACCATATGCAGCACTACTCGAGACAAAAGTGGGAACATTTTCTTCGAATTTATATATTTTGCCGATCAATCTTCATTTCCGACATATTTGCTCTACTACAGACACATGTCACAAGCACTCCATTATTGGTGTAATCCCTGTCAGTAAACCCAAAAATTGAACGAAGTTCTTCTCTGTTTTTATCGAGTGCGACATACGGCCCCATCAGTCACACCGTCTGATTCTGCGAGATTGCATTGAATCAATAAGACGCTAACAAACAAAAAAATGGCCTGTTTGAACAATAAATTATGCATCCTCGTTGAGTAGACTCTCCCGATCGGCTTCTTCCAAATCCGCACCGCATATCGAAAACCAGCACCTAAAGCAGGTCATGAAACTTAGACTGACAGCAGAGATGGCTCTGTTGAAAGGTCGCTAGGTCAGCAGGGTTGCAAAACGACTATGAAGCAAGCTCATTGAATTATTAAGCCGAATCTCATGAATAATCACAGAGTAGAATTAGCGTTTATGCGATGTAGCTTTTGGACAAAATATTTAGTTGCGGCTGACCGTGTTGTACTCATGGCACGTTGACTGCCGGCTTAATGGCAAATCAAAGGAGAAACCATCGAACAAATTCAAAACTGACCTAGTGCACAAGTTTGAGTCGCCCATGTTAGGGAGCACACGCCGTCGGAACCATGGGCCGATAAATATGTCGTTGTAAACAAACATGCCGAGTATAAGGAGTCCAAAACCAACTAGCTAAAATGAAGAACTTTTGAAATAGAATGTTAAAAAGTTAAAAACGGCTATGATATTAAACCTCAGCACGGCTTTAACAACAATTATGTTAGTGCATCAAAGTGAAATGGAGGAAAGAAATCTATGCATTTATGTCGATGCGGTTAGAAACGAAGAAAAAAGGACGTGAAGAACCACGGGTGTCGCCCGCTATGTAGAAAAATATTTGATAATATGGTACGATAACAAACCTGAAGAGGTATGAACTGCTCCCCGAAGAATGGAATGCTGAACGCCCAAATGAGAAGTGTTCTGACACTGTCAAGGACCATTCGAGTTGTGGCCGAAAGCTCCTTGGTCACAGAAACTCCAGCGAAATTGAAGAAAGCGATACTAAAAACGACCGCAATCCCAAAGTAAACTTCAACAAAAATGTATAGCACGTTTAAAAATTTGAATAGCTACCTAATAATTGTTCCACCCAAAGCAACGGCAATCCATGGTTGTTCAGTTATTTCCCGCCACGCATAGAAGACATCCTCAAAATAAAATGATAGTGACTTAAGTTTCCGAGATATATTTATATTCTACGAAAAAAAAACACGCTGCTGTTTAGTCACCTCTAGCCTTCCTTCTGGATTAGTGGAAAAAGTGTGGGGAACATGAATGTAGTACATTGGCACCATCAACACAGACAGAATAGTCATGCCGAACAAGCCTAAAAGGAAATGTATCACTGCACTTGTCTACACTTCAAAATCCCACTCATTATTCAGAGCGAAGCAAAAATAAAGTAAACAGCTCACCCTAACATACAAGGATGGTCTAACCAAACTGATTTCCGGTTTGAACCATGTTACAGAATGATTCTAATATATTTTCAACATACCTTCTAATCCAACGGCAAACAATGCTGGAACATCATATTGGTTCAGGTATTTTTGCTCATATACCATTTGTATCGCAACAATTATTTGTGCCATAATTATGAGTAGATTACCTGAAATCCGATAGATATGCGATAGATATATTATATAGCACTAGCTTATTGTTAGAAGAAAGTTTCAGGTCAAATCCAAAGTGAAAGATGCCATGGAAGACAAAACATATTCTAATTCTGAGCAGAAAAATTTCTTGAGTAAAAACTGCCATAAAAACTGCACTTGGTATAGCCAATTCTGATAATTCTAAAATAGTTTACCAGTAATGATAGCGTTCTTGTCGTCAAGCGGATCATCATCATAAAGAATATCAGTAACTCCAACGACAACCAGTCCTAGGATTACGAAAATCATTCCAATCCACTTAAATCCTTGAATGCGTGCTCCTAACATTCCGACGGAAAGCAGACCGGTGAAAACGATGACCGCTCCTGAATAGTGGTAAAGAGAGTAAAGCAATTTGAAACATCAATATTTTTTCCTCAAGGCCCGAAAAAATGAACGAAAAACTCACCTCTCAGCATCTGAAAACTGCTAGCAGTAGTCAGATTCAGCCCGATATACATGATTGACGTTGCAAGAATGTCACAACATGCCGGCGGCAAGAACACAAAAGGATTGAACTGAGGCAATTGCGGCTCAGAATCAGATGTTATATCAGTTATAGAACCGGATTCGCCTAAAATTAGCACACAATGGTTAGTGCGAGACTAGTAAAGTTAATGGTAGCCAACAAACAAAATATCTGTAGTAATAATTAAAGTATCGATTCGATTCCCTCGCTCTGAAACGTTTGAAAGTAGAAATATAAAGAAAATAGCCAAGACAACAACTTACCGGTGATATTGACGGCATTCCAACGATATTTTCGATAACCATAGATGACGAAGAACGCTACCAAGCACAAAAATTCACCAAAAAACATACATGTTGCCTGTAAACCCGTAAGTGGAGTAAGGGGCGATAACTGGCTATACATTAAATTCTTCACTAGGGTCCATTCTATGTAGTTAGAAGGGCATGATGCAGCTTTTCCAGAAAGCAGGCAACTCCGAGCCAGGGGGAGTGCAACCAGTCTAGGGGCGGGCGGTGGGGGTGAGGGCAGTCACTTAACATGCGTGAAAAGCTGGAATGTTCAAGTTCACACCAGTTCGCCAAAAACCTGCATCATGATGCCCCCACCCTAACTGCAATAGACCCCTTCACTATTAATCCCCGTTCACTAAATCAAATTGAACACATTTCTTTATTCATTAATGCAAAAAATTTATACCGTAGTGATGCAAACAAACACGAACTAATGAAAGTATACAGCAATTCCCCATCGGGTCCGTCTAAGGGCGCATTCATAGTCGGTCGTCCGATTGTAACGACCGTAACGATTGCACAGCATTGGATGCGTATCGATCGGACACGTCATAAATCGTCAGAAGTGTCCGATGATTAGACGATCGACACAGATCTGAAGCTATGCGATCGCTACGATCGGACGACCGACTATGAACGCGCCCTAAGTTACAGTAAGCTCCCTTACACGAATTGAGGACCACAAAGATAGAGCAACGCTTTATAAGTTAATTTGAAAAATACCTGAAGAAAGGGATGATTGAAAGCAACGCCTTCAGCTTTCAGACTGTCCGCCCATTTTGCGCATATCGTATTTAGCGAGCCTGTAACCACCATCAATACCGAGATGGCCAAGGCAAAAGCTTTTCCGCTGCTTTCTGTCATCCTGGAAAGTACAAAATGAATTGGTGGCAACATGACGAGCCACTTTTAACTCGGGAGAACGGAGCGAACAATGAATTGTTTCAGCATTTAAATGAAGAACATAAATCCGGTATCACCTCAATCAGATGATGTCTACATCATCGATGATTTTCGGCTCTACAGGGTGGCGAAAAATTACGTGCGCCATAACACACGTTCTAACTTTGTTTTTTGCGCGCAGAATTTTTAAAGCAATTAATTTTATAAAACATCGAACCTTGGCATTTTATAATTGCAAAAAAGATTTGGAGTAGCTGCCATCAGTTTCGATACAGGGCTCAATTTGTTTCTTCAGCTAATCGATGGTACGGCGGAGGTGTTCTGCATATATTCCAAATTTTAGGCAGTTATACAGAATCACAAGTTTTGGCACTTCGATTCTTCAGTAGTTTTCCAATAGAACCCCAAAGAAGTCTAATAAATCCGAATTCGGGTTGTAAGCACATCACGAATCCGTCGCCACAGAACAGCCGATACTAGTCTCGAACAAGTGGATTGATGCATTCATTGGTCCATTGGTTCCTGTAGAAAGACAGAATTGTTATAATTCTACTTCCAGAATCAACAGCTTTTTCAAGGGTCCCTTCTTGGTAGACCTTCCCATTGATTTCCGCGCTTTTAACCTGCGAAGGCCAGCCTGAAGCACTGATGCAGCCTCACATCATCAAATTTCCAGAGAACGAAATCCTTGTGGGTAATTTTCATTGACGTATGTTAGTAAGAGCTGTTAGAAAAGGTTAAAAGTGATTCTGATAGTTTTAAGGCACATAAAGGGTGAACTTTCATTTGTGAAACCACAGGGCATCCTAGGACCGCCGCACCCCGAAAACACTCCGCGATTTCTTAATCTTTCCTTCCGATCTTGCTTTGCTGGGAACGGTACGAAACTGCCCGTATGATATGTGACGACGTCCATTCAGTGCTTCATTTTCGGTGTCATCAACCAACGTTCAGGAAGTTTGATCTTGTCCGGCACTAATTCTCCTCACAACCGGATGTTGGTAGTTCGTTCTCATTGCCTTGCGGGTTCAGTTTAGTTCAGTTACATGTCTTCCTCTTTACAATGCTTTTCAGCTTTTTGGACGGTTTGTGGAAAAACTGTGTGCCTCGAAGAAATCATTCAGCTTTCAGTCCAGCTGTATGCTTTCCGCGCAATCGCATTCCAACATGAACAGGTCTTTGTCAGAACTTGGAAAAGAAATTTCTCCTCTTGCAAACCAATAACTATCAATAAACAAACAAAAGTGTTGAAGCACCCATAAATTCCTCACACAATGTTCGTAACGAAGCAAAATGTCGCGCGCACGTAATTTTCCACCACCCTGTAGTGAGTGGTTCAAGCACACACACTGTGGAAAAACACCATCGAAGACGACAACCTCCAAAATGCAAAGTGATTTGAAGATCACCTAGCTGCGAACTTGCGGTAAAATGAAGTTGATGGGCAAACAGCCCTGCTTTATCATCGTTGTATCATGCTCGAGGTAATCACGTATCCTAGCGTCCAAAGATAGGAAGAAACGGAACCTCAGATTACCACCAATTGCAGACTTGCTGCTGCCACATAACTAACTAGGAAAATGTCTCAGGTTGAAGTGACCACATTCATGAGACACTACCTTGGATTGGATTTCGATGGCTGACACTATATGCGTTCTGAATCCCCCAATTGATTCTATGGAAGGTCATGGCTTTACTACTAGCCTGAGTTTTGACCCAATTTGGAGCCTGTCTCACCAGCTGCAGCACGAACGAAGGTAACTCGCACACGTGCGTGTTCTTGTGCCCTGAAGGGTAAAGTGACGGGTTTATAGGATCGACGTCGGAAAAGGTTCGGACGCGATGTAGGTATTCGTGGTCAGAGCATTGATATACCCCTGGAGATTCAGTTTTAGCCAGTTCTGAGATTTCACCCTGAAAGTGATCTTTACTGTTGTCGACCTGCCATGGACAACGAACTAATGCATTTTGTATTAGGCTGGTGTCAGAGTCCGCGATCCATCGCAGGTTCCGCTGATTTTCGCAATTTGCGCGACGGGTCACGGAAATCACAAGTGCCCGATCAATACTGCAAGGTACCTTCCAATCCTGCCACCGCTTCTGCTTGATAGTGATGGCTGAATGACGTCTGCTCAGGGTTCCACTTATTTCACATTTATTGTTCCAAATGTTCAGATGGGGCACTTGCAATTTCTGCGATCCATTGCGTGTATCCCGCAACTCGCGAAAATCGCAATTGAGCAACTAGAGAATCTCCAAAGATACTTCACCACCTGTATGCAAATATAACCTTGTTTGCCGCGAAAGCGCCTGGCAAAATACCCACGAGCTCCGTGTGCAATCATTAGCAAAAGGGGCTAAAGTGTTTCTAGGCCATTTTGCAGAGGAAAGCAAAGGGTAAACTCGCGGAAGACTCGATCGCACGACCTATTGCGTGTGAGCCTGCACCATTACCGCTGCCACCTGGAATCACAACATCATTCAAAGAATCGATTGGCAAATTTGGAAAGCAGGCGCGAGAACTATCTTCGAAATCGCATCGCGTGGTGTGTATTCCATTAAATATGGTCACCCCGTTTTGTGGTTCTTTCCAGTCAGACCGCTTCCAAACTCTACGACGGCCTTGGAACTTGCTTGAAATTCAAATCTAGAATAGATTCGTTAAACCATGTCACCGCAAGACACCTGCCCCCACCCTCTCCGTGTCCGTACTACTCCTATACCCGAATCCCGTTCGAGTGATGCGTCAGTAGTTTTTAATCTTTACATTTGATTCCCCTACTGCAAAGCGTCTCATTTACTATGTCTGATTTTGTTATAGAAAATTATTATCTTTTACAGAAAATTCAAAATTAACAACAACGAGGGGATCAAACGAGTAGCGAAAGCACTGGTGTGGGAGCAACACAATACTGAGGCACATTAGCAGCTGAGCAATCAAAGTTGACTGCAATGTAGGAGTCAAAGTGGAACCTCGAAATAATGATCAACATTATTATTCGACAGACTGCAAAACCTCACAGGGAAATGTAAAAGAGGAAAGTCAAGAAAATGACTGAAATCGGCATAAATGGTGGCAGGAACTATTCAAGTAGCCCCAATATATCTGGACATGCCCTCAGACATGAGGAAAGTAATCACCCACTTTTCTGTCATTGTAAGTATTTATCACATTACGCAATGAGATATAGTGCGTACAATAAACTTAGGTACGATGGTGAGGCCGATGCCAGAATTTGCTTATCCAGCGATTCGCTAGCGAAACTCTGACATCGGCCTAATGGAGTGTGGTTTACTAGGATAGAAAGGGACTTTTTCGCGTTTCGCTCGCGAAACATTTTTCGCTGGAAACTTCGATCCACTCATGATCAGCGGTGGGCCTGAGGTTCTCACACCGAAAAATGTTTCGCACCTCAAAACGCAAAAGTCACTTTCCGTCCTAGTGAACCACACCGTCGGAAGGGAGAGGCTAAGTGCCAGGTGCAAGGCGAAAAGCTTGAAAAAAACACCTTAAATAAACAAAAACGCTGGTTGTATTGTGAAAAACGCGAATACGTCAGATATATCACACATCTCGTAATGACGAAGCATCAAACCCGCGGCAAAAAGTAGGGCAGTCACTGTGCACGAATTAATAAACGATGAGTCACCAAGTGTGTAACTGTTCAACTACGTGGGAGAACCTCGCAAAGTTCAAACCCACAGACGAGATAATTCCAAAAATATTTTTCGTTCAGTTCCAATCAAGATAAGATCGAACCACCCACATTAGGTATGGGTTTCTTTGATCTTACCTCAATTCAATCTCTACTACCCCAATCACATAAATGAAGGAGGGTCTCCAAGAAAATTCCAACTTTTGCAGGGGAAGGAAACCTCCGAGATGCGTGAACCACTTCGCACCGCTTTTGCACCCAACCGGGAGCTTCTTTCCCTGCGTGAAGTTGCTATAAGCGATATGAACTGAAGCACGACATGCCCTCTATTACTTGATGCGACTCTGCAGATATCTGGTGGCTCGCTTCTTTGAACAATCCTCTTCAAACCCACATCCCAAACTTCTAAGTGGTTCGTGATACTATTCCCCCACTGGCGAAGCAAACAGAACTCTGATTCTGGAATGATCGGAAAAGAATTATGTGAGCCTACTGTGACAGTGTTTGTGACTGACACGAAGAGCATTAAAAACATCAGACGAATCCTCGAAAGTAGCCGCTGTTTATAGAAATATCGCTTGAAAATTATGCGATAAGATCAGAGATTTAGACAAGCTTTTTGGTCTTCCAAGCAGTAACTTCCATTCTGACACATTTTAGAGTCGAGCTCTTTGGCAGGTAGTGGACAGGATGGCTTATTTACGAAGTTCCCTGCGTGGTCGCAAATCTGAACTGATAACTCGATAACGCATGACTTTTCACCGTTAGCCGGCACAAGATAAGAATCGGTCCAAAGTTTTCTAAAGGGGGCGAGACCAAAGGCTAATGCGGGTACTACGTCACACATGCATGTACACGTAGCTAAACTCAATACGTTTCTTACAAACGGCAAAATTAATACAAGACAGGCGAGTAGACACTGAATACGGGTCATGTTCATTTGCGACATGTAGAACAGTCCGTCTGCATTCGCAGACACTGCACGCTGTATACGCATTTTTGTCAGTGGCAAGCCAGTGGCAAGATTGGGCGCTTTCTCTGAGCAATGTAACATATGCAAACTTCAAAAATTTTCGAATACAAGTGATTAAAGGGCCACACTCCAGCACAGAAGGAATAACGGCTCAATGGGAAGGTAGACACAAGTACTGCTCGTGTTCGAGAATATTTCACCTGGATTTGGGGTACAGGGGTCGCACTACTTATCGCCCATCCCGACAATTAATGCCTTGTTAGAGTTTGGGCCAGCAAACAACCAACATTTACTTTACTAGCAAGAAGAACCGTACTCGTGTTGCTGAACCA